CTAATAAAATCTAATAAATCTAATCTCCTTATGTAGGCACCTCCTGCTGCCTTCGCTGTGTGTCTGTTTTGAGCATCTATCACAGCCTTTCTCAACCTGTGGGTCCCCTGATGTTGTTGAACTACAACTCCCATCACCCCTAGCTAGCAAGGCCAGAGCTCAGGGATGATGGGAGTTGTAGCCCAACAACATCTGGGGACCCACAGGTTGAGAACCGCTGATCTATCACATCAGCCTGCAACACACTCACATTACTAATGATGTAGGATCATGACTTAGGAAGCTGCCTTAGTCAGACCATTGGTCTGACTAGCTCACCACTGTCTTCCACACTGTCTGGCAGGGTTTCAGACAAAAGTCCCCTCCCCACACATTGTCCTGCCTGGAGATGCTGCAGAATGAACCTGGGACCTTTTGCAAACCATGCACCACTGAGATACCTGCCTTCCACAAAGCGACTTCTACTTCCTCCATTGTGTGACGCACACTCATTTATCTGTGAGTCACAGAAAGCAGAGGACTGCCAGTTTGGAATGTGGTCAGCCCCTGCGCAATCTGGATCTCCTACATGTCCTGAGTTGATTTTGTGTGGGGTGAATTGGCTCTTTGTCTTGGCTGTGCCCACTGTCTTCCCCCATAGCAAGGAATAAGTTCAGTTTTCCAGATTCTTAACAGTGGCCTTTCAGGCAACTGAAGTTAGCTATCATTACAGGAAAGCCGACGTAATATATTTTCCTCCCTTGTGCTTCAGAGATGTAAGGTGCCCTACAAAGGGTAGTGTTTCTATTTCCCAAACTGGCAGATAATCTGCTTCCATTATCAGGAATTAATAGTAATTCCTAGGCAAGGATTCTGTTCTTGTAGGATAAGACAAATCTAATGTTGATTTATGCCTTCTGACGTCAACTGCAGCAAAGGAACAGGAGGAGGTTGTGTAGGCATCATCCATTTAAAGCACATTGCTTTCAAGACATTCAGCTAATTTTTACTCAGAGCCAACCTGTTGAAACTAATGAGCATGGCTAAGTTAGATCTGTTAAATTAAATAGGGCTACTCTTAGTAAAGCTTAGTTCAGTGTTGCCCATTGTGTGTATGCACATTTCAAAACTTGTGGAGCTAAATGTTCTTTACTCCAGTTATTCCAAGAACCTTAAAATTTCAGAATTGTCTTTAGGCATCCAAAGCAGCTGAGAGAGTCTGGACTTGGTTAAAAAGCTGTAGTGGTTGCTTGTCAGATTTCCTTCTTCCCTAACCCACATCATTAGTGCCATTGTTAACTTTTATCTCTCTTTATCAGTAAATATCCTGTTGGTCTCAAAGTTCTCCCAAATCTCACATTCTGGGGGTTTTTGTTCTCAGTCACACACCGTGTGACATGATTTAGCATGACTTCCTGTTCCAATTACAGTGTGAAGACCGGGAATAAGATATATTGTCTATCTGAGGCAGGGTCTGCTGCCAACCTTTTTGAAGGTGCAAGCCAAGTCTATAATTTGAAACGCTTTAAGGCATGTGTTTATGCTCTACGCTTGTGTCGCAGGTCGGGGAAACTGCCCAGAGAAATCCACATAAGTACTGCATTGATAGAGGTTCTGGCCTGTGAAATTCCTAGTGGAACCATGTTAAAACACACACATACACTAAAAAGTCAGATTCAGCAAAATGAACACCACCCAGGCATAGAAGAAATAATGAACACAAAGGAGGAACCACTCAGAGATTCCCCCCTCCCCTGCTTTCTGTTTGAGTTGGACTGGGAGAAGGTTGTTTCCCCACTAAATCAACAATAGAGCAAGTCCAGGGACAGCTTGCAGCAGTGACCGAACACACACTTGGCTAATAAAATAGCCATGGCAGAACGTCCTGCATGAATGTGTGCTTTCAAAGCCTATTAAGCTAGCAACCACTGTAACATCTTGTGGCAATGGATCTGATTATGTGTTGCGTGCGCGCGCGTGCACACACACACACACACACACATAATGACATTTGGTTTGTATACCTTGCAAGAACTGGATGTCCTAAAGAGACCTACCTAAACATCTCTATGACGTGTCCTTGGATAGGGGGCGCAGCTCGTTTCCTTATGTACAATTACTTTTGACATTTTTCAACTGCAGTGTGACCGAGTTTTCTAATCAGGTTTTGCCAGGACTTGGCCCCCAGTGCAAGGACGTACTTCTTTCTCGATGTTCCTTACACAGTAATACAACGGTGGACAAGCACAGTTCTTAACTGGGCAGCAGACATTTCCAAATGGAAAAGAACGGACACTTTTCCACCCAGGGACTGAACGAATGGAGTTAGAGGGATGCTTGGCAGAAAAAAATATGGCATGCATCAAATTTAAAGATAAACTTCGGATAAGAAAGCTTTAAGATAGAGGAAATTCCTAGATTTTAATTTAAACATTATTTTCTGAACAACATCCCCTCAGAAGAACAGTACACTTAAGGATACTGCAGTGTTAGAGATAACAAAATTAGATCAGCAGTGACATCCACATTCTACATTAATATTTTCATTTGCACATCCATGGAAGAGACTTGCATAACCATGGGGATACAAAGCCTGTGGCTGGCGGGTATTTGTAAATCACATATGCAAATTAACACTTACTTGATTTTTAAAAAGGAATATTTTTAAAGTAATGAACTTTCCTCTGTTCATTAGAAGTACAATGGTTAATCCCAAACTCCAGGCTATCCATAGCTCCTGACTGCTCTCTCATCCTGCCATACATTAATATGGCAGCATGTAAGCTTTTTGCGGGCAGAGAACTTATTGCTTATGAGATGAAAACTCGAGGGCCTTGTACTGTCCTATAAATGACAACATTGTTATTACTATTGTTATTTCTTCCTTCTATAATACTATCGGTGTATATGGTGCTTTGCAGAGTACACAGGCATAAAGATGAATGTGTACAACTGCAATTAACGTTCCCCCAGTCTTGTTTTAGTGGAGGATAAAGACCCAGGAGTAAAAAGGTAAATATAGGGGAGCTGAAAACACCAGGAGTTAAAACAATAATAATGAAGTAACTATTAACAATATAGGAAACAGGCACAAAAATGATCTAACGCAAAGCCAACATCATAAAAGTCTTTAAGATGCTAAATTTCCAGCCCAATTTTGACATGCTTTGCAGATAAAGAGCCTGCCCCATTAACCCCAAGCCACATTACAGCAATGCCGAAAGGATGAGAAGCCTCTCTGGGCTCTGATGAGATATCTCCAGTGGAAAGATAAAGCAATCTGTGTATGGGGCTGGGCTTGTATTTTCACCCCCCACCCCACTTACAATGTTATCCATGGACTTTCCAATCAAAGTGCCAGAGGCATTAAATCCAGGCATAATATTTCAGAGTTCACCCACACTAGCAAAGACTCGAATTCATGAAGCGGGTGACCACCTGCAGTACTAGCCACAGCTGATAGGGTTGGGATACGTGTGGGTGTGTTTTGCACATCAGCTTATAGGTTCATCACAGGCACCAGAAACATTGTGCTTCAGTGGGAGGTGAAACCAGCAGCGGCGCAGCAAGCCGATTGGGCGCCTGGGGCGGCGCACGTGCCTTGCGCTCAGGGGCGGGGCCAGCCGGGGCAGGACGCTCCACAGGGCCTCCAAGGAGTCTGCCTGCGTCCTCCCACTCAGCCGCCCTACAGCTGGGGGGGGGCAGCGGGCAGACTGTCTGGGGCAGTGCAGAGCCTGTGGGCGCCCAGGCCACTGCGTCACTCCCAGGAGAGATTTGTGGCTGGGGTGCACTGCAGGCCCCACAGTGAGTCCACCCAGCATTTTGTCACCCCCCTCAGTGGTGCCAGTCAGCCCAGCCTGTACCCACTGGACCCCCCTTCCCCAGAAACCAGAAGAGGTTTGTAGCTGAGGTTTATAAGGAAGCTGCATTGACTGCAGCGAGTTCAGCAAAGGTTTTAATTCCTGTGTTGTATTGGCTTGAATGAATTTACTCTCCTTTACATACCCCAGTGGGTAAGACAGATGGACAGAAGATCCTGTTTACCTCCAGCGCTTTCATAATCTACAATCTCTGTTGCTCACACGTCTGCGACTATCCTCAAAATATTCCAGGCCCAATTTCAATCAATGGGTGGAATTCAACAGTTGAAATTCAACTGATGAGATTGTTCCATCAGTACAAGCATTTCTGCTTGCCTGATGGAATCACTTCCCTTCTGGTTCTCCTACACACTGTTCTGGGGGTTCTCCCGACCCACTTGAATAAATTTTGGGGAGGCGTAGGGGGCGCATGGTGGGAGAAGGCTCAGTTGCATTACCGGGAGTCCTTGCACTGGCTTTTGCTGCTGGAACAGCTTAGCTGAATCCGGCCCAATGTGTACAAACAGGTGTGGCCTGGGAAGATCTCTCCACCCTGTCGCCATCTTGTTAGTGAGCAGTCCTGAGTTTGTGTTGGGTGCTATCGTGGTGGCAGGCCGGAGGCACAGAAGGTGGCAGGCAGGCGGGATACATGCAGTGATGTCAGGGCAAAACATATAGCAGAGTTCATGTACAAAGTCCACCTTGAGTGGGTCCTACATCCACCCAAAGTGCAGTCAAAGTCGGTCGAAAAAGGTTGTGCGGATACATAAACAGCTGTTGAGATGGTGGTGATAATAAGAGCCATTAATATCACCAGGGCGCACTTCAAGAAAGACATGGCAGAGCTGGAAAAAAAGTAAAAGGCCTCATAATGCCCCTGGAAAGCAGGGTCCAGGCACTGTGTCACTCTGCACACATGAACAGATTTATATTGCATGCTACTTAAACAATACTCAGGACAAAGGCAATCTGATCGTGAAGCTGAGGCTCCAATACTTTGGCCACCTCATGAGAAGAGAAGACTCCTTGGAAAAGACCCTGATGTTGGGAAAGATGGAGGGCGCAAGGAGAAGGGGACGACAGAGGATGAAATGGTTGGATGGTGTTTTTGAAGCTACCAGCATGAGTTTGATTAAACTGCGGGAGGCAGTGGAGGACAGAAGTGCCTGGCGTGCTCTGGTCCATGGGGTCACGAAGAGTCGGACACGACTAAACGACTAAACAACAACAACAAGGTATTATCCAAGGAGCAAGATGTTGCTTCTGTAGTGTCCATGTTCATTCTATGTACAGAAATGCATTGGTCCCCCGAACAAGCACTGAGTGCACTCAGATGTGGGGATTATTGTGATAGTTTTCTGGTTGTAATGCTAGCGCTTCTGTCCCTGTTTCCAACATTCCTTTTATGCTGCATTACCTGCTGCATACAGAACTGTAGCCTTTTGACAGATATATCACCATGCTGTGCTAAATTCCATTCGTATCAATGGCTGTGTCGTAACACAAAAGCAAACACCACTGTATGCATTGCATCCTTTGTGAGCATGCCTGCTTCTGTTCACCCATGAAAATGGTGGGAGACGAAAGTATGCCAGAACAGCACCACCATTTCACGTGAGAGCCAGTGATGGGATCCGTGAAATTACAGCACAAGACTCCCACAGTTTTCCCAAGGGGTTAACGAAGTTGCAAATGGTTTTTTATTTTTTCTTCCTGGAAGCAATTAACGTGGAAACGAGTGTTGAACTTCCACTAGATTCTGCTAGATTTCCTGAAGTATGTGTGAATGATTGCATAAAACACAAAAATGTTCCAGTGTGGAATAGAATAAAGTGCTGTCTGAATGCAGCCACTATAGAACAGGAGAGATTGGAAGCACATTTGTCAGTCTGAAGCAACTATAATGGACATGGCATTAGTTGCATTACTCCCCGCACCACTCCTCATAAACAAGGGATGTTGCAACGGCGCCCAGCTTGAGCAATATTATCAATGAGGTCTTATATTGCCTTTTTTTCTCCTTCCGTGACTCAGATGATGGGATATTTTACATATTCGTGTGTGCTAGCCTTGTGAATCATATAAACAGGCCCAGAGTTCTTACAAATATGTGGTTGCTTCCCTGCTCTCCCTTTCTTTCGCTTGGGCAACTGCTACGTTAATGCACTGGAGCCATTCCTCGGCATTCTTCTCATCTTTGGCCTTGAAAACGTAGGTCTTACTGTCCGTGAATATTTCAAAGGCCCGAGGGAGGCTGCGGTCCCTGCGTTTCTTGGCCACCACTTTGACACTCTGGACCTTGCTGAGCTCAATGGGGCAGTCGTCTGGGTCGTCTTTCTAAAACAGAGAAGGAAGTGAAGATGGGGGTGTGTGTGAAACAGAGTTCAAGGTTTGTTCTGACTATACCGTATATACTTGAGTATAAGCTGACCTGAATATAAGCCAAGGCACCTAATTTTTTTGGGGGGGGGGACTGGGAAAACATATTGACTTGAATATAAGCCGGTTCACCACACCACAAACCTGGTGGTGGCGGCAGCGGAGGAGGAAGAACAAGCAGCCCAAAAGGGTTGCCTTTCAGGCTGCTCGTTCCTCCTCTGCCGCTGCTGACGGGGGCAAAGGTGGTGGAGCAGGAAGGAGCAGCCTGAAAGGGCTCCTTTCGGGCTGCTTGTCCCTCCTCCGCTGCCACCGACAGCGGAAAAGGCAGAGGAGGAGGAAGGATCAGCCTGAAAGGAGCCTTTCTAACCTGACTGATATCCCTGGGCTATGAAGGGCTCCTTTCTCGCCGCTCGTCCCTCTGCCACCATCCGCCTCACTCAAGTATAAGCCAAGGGAGGCTTTTTCAGCATAAAAAATATGCTGAAAAAGTCGGGTTATATTCGAGTATATATGGTACATGGTTGGTTAATCTGCCCAAAGTGGCCTGTTGCTGATGCGGTTCTTACATATTGTTCATCACCATGCTATTCCACAGTATTGAACTAGTTTGACACCATTTCCTTTCTCCAGCGAACCCGGGGAACTATAGCTCTATAAGAAGGGAGAGGAGAAAATTCTCAGCACCCCTACCAAACCACAATTCTCAGGGCCCTTGGAGAGAAGCTGTGGCAGTTTAAATGGCATAACATCGCCAGACGTTTCTAGGGCAGATATACACTCAAAAGTCTCCAGGGAGGAAAAAATAACTCTTAAAACATAATTTGTTCCACTGGAGTCAATCTTTAGGAGTGCGGCTTAATGAGACATCAATAAATTTTTGCATAGTTTAATGTGCGAGTTTCTCCTCTTTCAACATAAGCACAGTTCTCTAACTGAATCCAGAGATGTAGGATTTGGGCAATTTTCCCACCAGGGTTTTAAGCAGTCTTAATGCATGTGAAAGATGCCCGACTGATAACCCTGGGCTATGAAGTGCTCTGTTTCTTCTCAGAGTCAACCTGGCACATGCAGAGGCGTATCCAGCAGGCTTCCACAGCCGTGCCACCTGCAACGGTTCCTCTGGTGCAAAAGTACAAATTGTGACAGGAGGTGGGCCTTTAAGATACAAAGGCTTGAACTGAAGCCCATGGTTCATTTATCTCCATCCCATTAGCTGTATGTAAGCCCAGAGAAATTACTAGGGGAGCTAAATGGAGGTACTGTACTTGTTCTCCTCTTCCAGGAATTGGCCTTGGTAGCATCTAGTGACGATCCATTGGAAAGCTTTGTGTGTTGCTGACAACCTGTTGGTGACCCACCAGTGATGCTTCCCTCTCCATTTTGCTCCATGGTGCCAGCTATGCACAATGCAAGGCAAGAAAAGCTGGCATGAGGGCACTGACATTCTGGAGTATTGCAGGAGCTGCAATGCTGGCAAACTGGCACTGGGCACGATCTGCCATGGCGACAAGGCTATCATAACTCAGCACGCGAGTTCGCCATGATTATATTTGGTACACTGGTAACCATTTGTTGAGAGTGTAAGGATCCCTTGCCATCTTTACAGTGTATGGAAGGAACTTCAAGGCCCAATTAGGCTGGAGAAATCTTAGTAAAAAGGTAAAGGTAAAGGACCTCAACAGTTAAGTACAGTCGCGAACGACTCTGGGGTTGCGGCACTCATCTCGCTTTACTGGCTGAAGAGTTTGGCTTTGATATCCCGCTTTATCACTACCCTAAGGAGTCTCAAAGCGGCTAACATTCTCCTTTCCCTTCCTCCCCCACAACAAACACTCTGTGAGGTGAGTGAGGCTGAGAGACTTCAGAGAAGTGTGACTGGCCCAAGGTCACCCAACAGCTGCATGTGGAGGTGCAGAGATGCAAACCTGGTTCACCACATTACGAGTCTACTGCTCTTAACCACTACACCACACTGGCTCTGTGCTGAGGGAACCGGCGTTTGTCCGCAGACAGCTTCCGGGTCATGTGGCCAGCATGACTAAGCCACTTCTGGTGAAACCAGAGCAGTGCACGGAAAGGCTGTTTACCTTCCCGCCGGAACGGTACCTATTTATCTACTTGCACTGGCGTGCTTTCGAACTGCTAGGTTGGCAGGAGCTGGGACCGAGCAACGGGAGCTCACCCCGTTGCGGGGATTCGAACCACCGACCTTCCAATCGGCTCAGTGGTTTAGACCACAGCGCCACAGAAATCTTAGTAGCTGTTACCTATTATATGCAAAAATTAAAAAGCGGACTGATCCACAGGGGATGATGCTGTCATTTTATTAGGTGAAACAGCTGGGTAATGGTGTGGGGCATGTAACCAGAGCTTTAATGAGTTTGCACCTGCCTCAATTGCACCTTAACCTAGAAATCCACATTAAAACTGTAATAATTCTGGATGAAATCCTGTTTATTGTTTTAGGCAGAAGAAGAGTGCTTAGAATGTTACCTGGGGGAAAAAACCTGAACAAAAATTAATCTCTCTCTTTTAAAATCCTCGAGCCCGCTAGAAATGGTTGTTCAGCAATTCAAATCTGCCAAATCCATTTGCTTTCCAGAAAGATACCCACTCCTTTGATTTACAAATGAGATCACCCATAAAGAAACTCCTTGCCATTTTTAATGATGTGATATTCTTTTACCATTGAGAATAGAGGTACTTTTATGTGCCTCCTGCTCTGTTATGAAAGCAGGTCTAATTATCTTCCACTACGGCAAAAGTCCTTTTTCTAAGTCAATCAGATATGATACAATTGGTAGCAGAATTCATCCAATTAGGCTGGGAGAAAATCAACCTGAAGTCTGATGTATTCTTAAAACTAACCATCAGCCAATGGGATCAAGATGAGCAGGTGACAGCAAAGGTTGCAAGGTTTTAAGCCGGGGCAATTGGAATAAGATCCACTATTTGACTATTGATTCAAAAACCCCAAATCTATTTTATATAATTGACTTTTTTATTTTTATTCTTTGTATATCGTATTGTCGTTTTATTGCTATGGCCGATGGCTGACGCAAATAAAAATTCATTCAGCCAATGGGTTAATCTATTTGTTATGGCTTAAGTTGGTTAAGGCTTTACAAGACACACTTTAAGTGTTCCAGAAATATAACTCAGGGGATAAATCTACCAATTGTCTTATTTCTAGTTCTCTCTCAAGCCCACACCTCTCCCTTGACATTTCTGTTATATCTGTGACTCACAGAGGCACAACACGATCACAACCGCCTCCTCAAAGCAACCAATTCAGTTTCTGTGTCAAAACAAGGCACAGATTAATTAATTTGTCTCATCCAAGAGTGCCTGGAACAAAGCCAGCCCTGGGAACAGTGGCGTAGCGTGGGGGGTGCAGGGGGGGCCGGCCGCACCGGGCGCAACATCTGGGGTTAGGGCAAATCCACGGGTTAGGGGGCGCAAATTACTTGCCTTGCCCCGGGTGCTGACAACCCACGCTACGCCACTGCCTGGGAAACCACTAAAAATTAGGACAAAGTCCTTAATCATCAGCTGGTACTGCCCCGATTGAGTGATGAGCATACATGTTAACTCACTTCTGGTATGTTATGTATAATAAGCTTTTTCAGACATGTGAGTGTCTCGTTAAAGTTTGTGGTGTATGAGAAATAATCATCAAGACTTTTAAGGCCTGATTATACAGGGACATTTCGAAATGATTTCTTTCCCCTCTCTCCCAACTTACAGATTTCCCTTTGCGAAAGAGAAGCTGATTCCCAGCAAGCGTGAAATAGCGGGTTTTCCACCTTTTGATGAATTTCCACCGAACTTGCTTTTCTTTCAGCTTGCCTTCAATTAAGGGTTGGCCATCTTGATTGACAACTGTGGAAATGAGAGAGAGAGAGAGAGAGAGAGAGAGAGAGAGAGAGAGAGAGAATATTGTTATGAATTCTTGTTTCTGCTTTGGTGGCTCAGACTTTATAGAAAATTTAGAATCAGAAGCCCAGGATGTGGCATCTATATAAGCCATTTCTCTATATCCCCCCCCACCCCACAAAACAAGCAGCAACAGCAAAGAAACCATAGTTCAGATGAACCACAGTTTGCCTGGGTTTGGGTGACGTGACAAGCTATGGTTCATCTGAAACAGAAGGGGAACCTTCTAAACTCCTCATTGCGCTTGTGTTGGAAGAGGAGTACATGGGCTCAAAGCTTACTGGGTTTCATTTGTACAATAGGAAACTTTAGCGCTATGGCTGAATCAGCCCATTTTTTTCATACCAAGGAGTTAAACTTATTCCATCCATTTGCAAAATAATTTTCAAAATTTTGATAAACAAGATTTCCCTTCCTTCCTTCTGTCCCTATGCAGCTGTTAGCAGCCAATCTCCCAGAGAACAAAAAGGACATTTGGTGGCTGAGGAATACTGTTCTTGTCAACTCTGAGAAAGAATTATGAAATTTAACAATGTATCTGTTTTTAGAATGTTTTTAATTTTTTAGAATGTTCTTGTGTAGGAATTGTAGATGTGTTTGATGCCCTGGGCTCCTTTGTGGGGAAGGGCAGGATATAAATTCAATAAATAAAATAAATACACCCAGAATTTGTCTGCAAAAGTAAATCATTTTACACAAATATGTCTACTCTATTCTAGTTATAGATCTGGTGGTACCTGACTAGTGTTGTTTTTTAAAGGAATGGATTCTAAGTAATGAGCCTTATTTTCTTTACTTTTAGCAAAGCCTGTTTATTTACAAGGGAGCCTGTAGACGCTGCTTTTAGAATTGCAAGAGATTAGATTATTTGCAGCAGGACAAGGTTGCATAAGCTTTGAGAAACACAAGCTTTTGTGTGATGTTTGAAAAGCAGTTTCTTGTTATGAAACTTCAGGTCCAAGTGAATTTTCTTGGCCTTCTGATGCCACGTCTCAGCAATGTGGGGCGCAAGAAATTCTGTGTCACTGAAGAGCTATGGTGGCCATGGACAACTTTTAATTCTAACTCCCACTGTGTATATTTGGATAAATCCATGGCTATGCAGAAATGTCAACTTTAAAGGGCGCCCTAACGGATGAGATGCCAACATGTCTGAGGGAGTAATTAAAACAAAAAAAGTTCAGAGGGTCACAATGAACTAGTATTCCAAATACTTCTTTTTTTATTTTCTTTGCAATTAAGCTGTCTAAACATGTACAGTTTTATACAGCAACCTTCTAACCTCTTTGTGGTAGAATCTTATGACTTTAATGGAAGCAACCTTTTCCATGGTATCTTAGTCACTGGATGAAGTGCTTTGGCCGGCATTGTAACAAAGCTTCTTATCTCAATCCGTCCGATTAAAAGTTAAATGCATTACCTTACCGTAATATTGATAAGAACAAAACTGGATACTAAGTGCCTCTCTGGCTAAAGACTTGTGGGCACGTGCATCAAGCAAAATATTCATTTGGGCTAACTAGGCTGGGATGAAGCCTAAGAATTCAAAGTCACGCACACCAAACAATTCACAAAACAGACGTCACAATCTCATTTGCTGGTGTGGGGAAGGGGAGTGGGGAGTTCTGTTGCACAAGTGTAGATTCTTGCGCTGAAGGAACAAGTTACATAATGCTACTCTGGCTACAACTCTAGGTTTTGAGAGTGTTCCCTTAAAATTCCATCAGCATCAAAGGAAATTTATCTCCTAACAGGGCTAACAGCAGTTTGGGGGCATTTTAATAAGGGAAATGGTAGGGAAGAAAGGGTAATTTCTCCATGAGCAATGGTCTCCTGCTCTTGATTTCTCCCTTCCCTGTCACATATCTGTTATTTGAAGAAAAAATTAAGGGACCAGATGTAAAAGTGAGTATGGAATTTGAGGTTTCCAACCATTTGTTTGAAGCATCCTGCATCAATTAACAACGTTTCTCATTGGAACATGCCCAGACCAACCCATTTTTGCGAAATTTGCACATGAAAACACAAATGGCGCGCATAGGCTATGTCCTAGTCAGCATCCCAGTTTGGGATTTTGTTGCATTAAGACTGCACTCCTACACCTACATACGTGGAATGAATATTCTTGGGGATTTACTTTGGGGTAGATATGTATAGGATTGTGCTGTCAGTGCTGCGTTTAGTTCGGCACTAGGTGCTCATTAGAACGGCAGCCTTCTTGCGGTTGCTAAGTCGCTGGAAATAAGAAATTACTGTCAATCTGCTGCACACCACCCAGGAACCTACTGTATGATCACCATTTCCCCCCCACCAGCCTTCACTTCTTCCACAGTGCATGGAAGATGTGTGCTATTTGCATCTATCCTGAAATTTCAATACAGATATTCACAAAGCTCGTGTTTATGCAGAGAGGATTCAAGGAAGTAAATGTTTAAACATTTGCCTAACTGGGAAATAAACACTTCTCGCAACATACGACTTCATTGAGAATCCCTCAACAATGTGAAAAATGTTGGCTGAAAAGGAAAGTTAAACACAATTCTCCTACCCGCATACAAATGCTTTTATCAAGAGTTAGGTCCATAACCCAACAGTAAAGTGAGAACTAACCTTCACCCAAAGATCCCAGGGCAGTTCACAACATAAAAATACAAAGTGAGAATACAAAATAAAACAAATACAAATACAAACGAATAACCCCTCTCCTACAAACACATTTTAAAAACCATAGAGAGGCCTCGATGGCAGTATTCGACCCCTAGGCCCAAGCTCCCCCACCCGGGGGTATAAAATACATGTGTATTTCTGCTACTAATTTCCACAACATGACTTTTGTTTTTCTCTAAAGGGAATGCTTTATAAGCCAATGTGAGAAAAATATAGGGCTACGTGGTGTGGCTTATAGCTGGTGGTGTCAAAAGTCCCTTGTTCTCGAGCGCCAGTGTGGTGTAGTGGTTAAGAGCGGTAGTCTCGTAATCTGGGGAACCGAGTTCGCGTCTCCGCTCCTCCACATGCAGCTGCTGGGTGACCTTGGGCCAGTCACACTTCTTTGAAGTCTCTCAGCCCCACTCACCTCACAGAGTGTTTGTTGTGGGGGAGGAAGGGAAAGGAGAATGTTAGTCGCTTTGAGACTCCTTAAAGGGAGTGAAAGGCGGGATATCAAATCCAAACTCTTCTTCTTCTTCTACGTGTGCAAAAACAGTCTAAAGATGCAATTCTATACACACTTAACTGAGAGTAAGTCTGATTGAATCTACTCTCAATCCCCATAAATCTACTTTGCTAAAGAAAAGGCAAGAAAACAAATTAAAACAGCACTGAATTTCTAAGAAACACATTTGCACATCATGTGTAGTTAGCCCCTCCACAGTATTTCCTAGGTAGTGAAGTGATTTAAGCTGTTAATGGAGAAAGGTTGATGTTGAAATATTGGGCTGTTATAATATCAGCCAACTTTCTGTAACATCAGGCCAACTGGTGGCTGGGTACAGATGCACAAGCACAGGTGGGAAGAGAATGAAGTATGCTAGAAAAGGACCTGATTGGCTGGAAGACTTGAAGACGCAAATCTCAGTTCTTTCACTCAGTCTGGTTCATTTTGCTTCCTTAAATACATCTCTGGGGTTCCAGAGTCCAGACCATGGGTAGGCAAACTAAGGCCTGGGGGCCGGATCCAGCCCAATCACCTTCTAAATCCAGCTTGCGGATGGTCCAGGAATCAGCATCTTTTTACATGAATAAAATGCGTCCTTTTATTTAAAATGCATCTCTGGGTTATTTGTGGGGCATAGAAATTTGTTCACCCCCCCCATATAGTCCGCCCCCCACAAGGTCTGAGGGACAGTGGACCAGCCCTCTGCTGAAAAAGTTTGCTGACCCCTGGGTCCAGAAAATAAAACACTGTCAAGCTAGGGCATTCTATGGAATGGTCTTTGGCATCTTTAGGAAACTTTAGGATTGCAATTAAATATATATACAGTGGTACCTCGGGTTATATACGCTTCAGGTTACATATGCTTCAGATTACAGACTCCGCTAACCCAGAAATAGTACCTCGAGTTAAGAACTTTGCTTCAGGATGAGAACAGAAATCGTGCAGCGGCGGCGGGAGGCCCCATTAGCTAAAGTGGTGCTTCAGGTTAAGAACAGTTTCAGGTTAAGAACGGACCTCCAGAACGAATTAAATATGTAACCAGAGGTACCACTGTATATTGCTTCAATCTTATTAACATCAATGAGGACTACACAACCTTAAAGGGGTGTGTGGACTGTATGGCCCACCAGATGCTGTTGGACTTCAACTCCCATTACCCCTAGCCAGCATAGTCAATGCTTATGCCACGGGCCAGGAGTCAGCTTCGCCTGTTGAACAGCAGCCTGAAGGGGGAGAAGGCGGATTGACTCCACCTGCAGCTGATCAGCCTTCAAGGATACAGACGAGAAGGCACTGATGAGAACCAGCTGGCTTTAGCCTTCTTAAGCATAGCTTCCAGAAGCAGTCAGATGTTGGTAACATTTGTAGTTCCTGACCCTGCCTTGCCGCTTCCTGCTTGTCTTGACCATTGACCGCATGATCATCAGATTACCTGACCTTGGACCATCTGACCATGCGGCTTGCTGTTTGGTGGACCCTAGGACTGGACCTGACTTTGGATGCTGACTCTACCTCCAGGCAAGTATAATTCAGAGACTCTTCTGGTTGGCTGACCTCCCACTCTCCTGAGCTCTGCATGCTGCTGCTCAGCAATGAGACTATGGCAGCTTAGCGATGATGGGAGTTGTTGTCCATTAACATCTGGAGAGCCATAGGCTTTCCACTTTAGTCTAAAGTCTCCTTGAGTTATCTCTAGAAATCAGTGTATGAAGCAACTGAAGAAAAATGGTGCACAGTATATCCATCACCAATGAGGGCAGTGACTCTCATTGGAACTACTCAGTCCCTAATT